AGCCTCGCCGAAGGCCGGGGAGACGACGTCCGCCGCTCTCCCCTCGTCTGCGCGGCCGGTCGTCCCGACGGAGAAGGCTCTCCGATCGGTCAAGCGCGACTTCCCTCGGGTGAATCCGTGCCGACTACTCCCGATCTCGTCTGCGCGGCCGGTCGTCCCGACGGAGAAGGCTCTCCGATCGGTCAAGCGCGACTTCCCTCGGGTGAATCCGTGCCGACTACTCCCGATCACCTTCTTGTCCTCCACCTGCTTAGCGATGGCCTCGGGGATGAGCTGTTCCATCACCTTTCCAGAGGTGGAGGTGAAGCTAACTGGCCTGTAGTTCCTTGGGTGTGTATGTACACACACACACACACACACACACACGTAATTCTGTGCACAAAAGTGCTTAAATGTTCATTCTGCAAATGAAAAAAAAGTGTCATGTAGTAGTACTGTCTGCAGAAGTGCTCTCAGATGCCTTAAATTTTCAGATTAAAGACAGTATGTTGGTGTGCAATGATGTGAATATGGCGTTGATATAACAACCTAAGCTTAAGCACGTTGCAACAAGATGCAGTTTTGCTCTCTGTCACTTGCATGGAACCATAATTTCCAAGTTATTAAAGGTACAGAACCTGCTTAGGCTAACTGTACAATCATATTTTCTAAATATTTTTCTCCAGCGTGAAGACTGGAGTTGATTATTTTAAGGTTGGACGCCACGTGGAAGCTATGAATGAGTACAACAAGGCTTTGGAAATAGATCCACAGAATGTTGAAGCGTTGGTAGCCCGCGGAGCTCTGTAAGTATCCTTGTTTCATTGTTTTGTTTTTTTTTTTGCTTTGTGAATGATGACCTTTGTTAAACTCTGCAACCCTTCTGTTCTCATAGGTATGCAACAAAAGGAAGTCTAAACAAAGCCATAGATGATTTTGAAACTGCGTTAGAAAACTGTCCCACCCACAGAAATGCAAGAAAATACCTCTGTCAAACACTTGTGGAAAGAGGCGGGCAGTAAGTGCTGAACTGTGTTCTTATTCAGTTGTTAATTTTTCTCACAGTATTTTTATGATATGGTTCTAGTTAGGGGACAGAATGGCATCTGTCTTTCTTGACTATGGGTAAAAAAGGAAATCGGCCTTGGAAATGAAACTGCTTGTGCCATTGGTTTACACTTTACATGTCTCAGTTAAAATCCTTGCGAAACAGTGAAGATTTGTTTTCATTTATAGGATGCCAGGCTTATATACAGTTTTGTGAAATGTTTGAATATAAAAAAAATTAATTATTTTTAGAAAGCATTTGTAACTAAATTGTGTTCTGTTACTTTTCTGAAATACTTATAGTAACTACTGTAACAAAAATACTTTTGAACTAATATTCAGCAAACGTTTCTTTTGAGACCTATGTTAAGAAGAGATGCAGTACTTTTTGAAACTGGAAGTGAAATTCTAAACAGCATGCTTGATGATTAGGAGATAATAATGTGTTGGGAATTTCATTTTATTTTTTTACTGAAGTGGGCTAAGGTGACAGATTGGGTCTTGGAGGGATGCAGTGGCAGTGTCACAGTACCAATAAGAAAGGTAGTCCTAAAAATAAAAAGTCAAAATAAATGCTGTGCCTTACCTGTATATAAAACTTATAATTTGAATGTTAGGTTGGAAGAGGAGGACAAACTACTAAATGCTGAGAGTTACTATAAAAAAGCCTTAAATTTGGATGAGACTTTTCAGGAAGCAGAAGAGGCCTTAACGAAACTCCGTAAGCACATGCAGGTGATTCTTTACTTTCTCTTCGTTTAATTTTCTCAGTTACAAAAAATTACCATCACAATCATATTGTATCTTTTAAATGGGGAGTAATAAGTTGCTGGTTAGTCTTATTCTCTGTTTCCCCTCTCCACAGTAAATCTCTTATAGTAAGCATTATGGCTGTACCTACCAGAAGTAATATACCTATATCAATAGTAGACTTTACTGTTTTGAACAGAACAGTAAAGAAAAGCAAAAAGGGAAAGAATAAAGCCCATTAACCCTATCAGCCAAGCCAGGGATGAGAATACTCTACCACACAAGCATGACTAATAATGTTGAATTAAAATATTTGTAGAATAAAAACTTGCAAAAAATAAAATTTTAGGCAAGCCAAACAAACATTGCAAGCCCTCTCAGCAGCAAGATGGTTTTTGTAATTTGGAATAATCAGAAAAAGACAGAATAACATCAGCTGAAGCTAAGTCACAGGAAGATCACATGTGAGAGAAAGTTAATAGCTGATTAGTATTTAAGATTTAAAGGAAAAGAGTGAGTGGGAGAGGTGGAGGGGTGGCAGAAGTCTGAGTGTCTTTGTTCTCTTCTCTGGTGTATGGGTCTTCACTTGTCTGCGGACTTTTGAACTTCCACACAGTACGTTTCCCAAGCGAGCCCTGGCGGGTTGCTGTGCTAATCTTTGTTGTCCATTGCTTTTTTTCTTTCATTTATGTCCGTTACTTGCATTGTCTTTCAGAGTGGATCGAAGAGTAAGTTGGAGCACTTAGGCACAGGGTGGTTTTGCTCTATGCGTCTGTGTTTAAGGAAATAGACAGACTTAGGTAGATGTTAATGGGCCTTAATAGACACCTCTTTAGTTGGTGGAGCCATAATGCTGACAGGTTGTGTTGAAAAAAGGGGAAGAGGAGATGTATGACAATCTTGAATGAAACTAAACTACGCTATATACAAAACACTGTATGCTATTTGAGCACTACCGATATTTGGCAATATCAAGAAAGAGGTATGACTGCTTTAGAAAGAAGTCTCAAAGTCTCAGTTTACTCTCCTTATAGCATTATTCTGGTATAATGGTCATTGATGCAGCAGCTAAAACACGATCGATTGCACTATTGTTCATTGGTTTGCATGGCACTACCTGTAATTAAGGATTTCTTTTATTTATTGTATCTGTTATGACAGTTGCTAAGTACTGAAAGCCACAATCAGACTTTCTGCTCACTCTGAATACGAACAGAGCTGTTCTTTAGGGCTGGAGATCACAGAAGCCTGTGATCTGTAAAGGACTTGAATAGTGTATCTTTAAAGATTATTCATCTGATAATCAGATGCTCTTTTGCACTTCTGTGTATTTTAATACGCACATCCGATACTTTCAAACTGTTGTGCTAGAATGGCTGAAACATAAACAACGTTTTCCTGTAATACTGATTATGTGTTTTTCTCCAATGCATTTTCTTCTGAATCGGACCGTTATTGCTGTATCTGACCCCTGGTGCTGCTCATCGCCAACAAACCCTTGGAACATGATTACTTATGTAAACTATGCATCACACTGGTCTGTGAAATTATTACAAAATGGTTTGTATTCAAACGTGGCCAACTTGACTGCACTTCAAAATGGGTTCTACCATGTCTTATTTGTAAACTACAATAACGATGCTTTCCCTGAAACACCCCCTGCGCTCTCGCTTTCTCTCTTGCTCTTGCTTGTTTTGTTTTGTTTTGTTTTTTTTTCCTCCTCCTTCATACTGCTAACGTTATTTTTCCTGCCTTTGCCATCTGTACCTTTTGGGCTGCGTGCTTCACGGTATACTGGATCCTGGGTGCCACTGCAATGGCTGGTCAAATTTCTCTTTTAATGGGATAAAAACTGCAATATGGTCCTTAATGTAAACCTGATTATCACAACGGCCAATGCCAAACTCCTGGACAATATTAATTCTTGGTCTGGGAATCCTGGTAAAACATCTTTGGTGTAATTATACATTTGAATGGGGTTGGGGACATGGGGAAAATACCTGTGGTAACATTTTTTCTTTTAATTTTTTTTTTTTTTGGATATTTGGGTTCAAAAAAGAAATCTTTGGAAATGAGGGAGAAGCAAGCTGCAAAAGAAGAGAGACAGAAAGAAAAGAAAGTAGAAACAAGTGCAGAAAAATTGCGTAAGCTCTTAAAAGAAGAGAAAAGGTAACCCTGTTATGTTCAGTATTCTGATTCTTGAGCCTATTGTGTCAGAGCATGAGTTTTTTTAATAAGAAAAAAACCCACAAACCCACCCCAAACCAGTAAGTATAAGAACTGTTATCTTAAGATAAAGGACCCATTGCAAATGCTCAAGTTTCCTGACAGTTAAAGCACAGATTAAATAGTAGTTAAACATAGCCAAAGCATGATGCTCAAAGCAACGCCATTTAATGATTGTCTGCTGTTTTCCTGGCCTCATCTGTTTTACCTCGGTTGGTGACAAAAATACGGTCTAACATCAGGAATTTACTAATTCTGCTACTAAATTTGAAATTCTGTTATCTTTCCCATAACCATGGAAAAGATCCTGTGGTTTCAAAGAGGAAATGGCAGTAAGTGCAGATAAGATCATGAACAATTCATTTCCAAACAGATTGTCTAACAGTAAGCTAGGTAGAACTGGTTTCTTCTCCAGCATTTTTCCTGGGCGATGTTCTTTAATGTATATAGCCTCTAGCAGAGAAATATGTGGAAGATAAGTTGACTAAAAATACTTAGCAAATGCAATGAGATATTAAACTGGGAAAGATGACTTTTACAATAGAAGTGTTCTGTGGATTTAATATTCTCTTCATAAAGAAATGGTGTTTGAAATCTTGTTTTGCGAGGTCAGGCCCAGTTTCCTTTCATGCCTTATGGTCCAATTTCAGCCAAACTCTGGAGAGTACAGTTTTGCCTTGAGCATATAATCTTTCCCTGATACTGAAGATTATCTCATAGATTAATTACATTTTTAGGTTGAAGAAGAAAAGGAAAAGATCAACTTCCTCCTCTTCCTCCTCCACCTCCTCCTCCTCGTCCTCAAGTGACTCTTCATCAGATGTGTCAATTTCGTCTTCCTCTTCTTCTGATCACAAAAAACGCAAGAAAAAGCATCGGAATAGATCAGAGTCTTCCCGCAGCTCCAAAAAGCACTCATCTAGATCTTCACATTACAAAGATCAGATTAGGAAAGATGAGTGGTATTCGCCTCCAGCTGATACCTCTGCTTCCTTTCTTAACCAAAGATTTGAAGTGGAAAAACTGCTGGAAAGGCAGGACAGCTTAGTGTATCCAAAAACAGAGGTAAGAGAGAAAGACAGACACTGTTCTCTATCGAGGACTTCAGCTGAGGATGAAGACACTTTTGGAGGTAGGTCTGAAGATTCAAGAGATTCTTACAGTAGCTCCAGAACTCAGGCAAGTAGTAGCAAAATTGAAAAACATGTTAAAACGGACAGATTTTTCTCCAGTAGGAGGAGTTCATCAGGTTCATGTCATAAGTCAGATGATAAAACCCAGATGCATTATTTTAGGAAATTAGACAGGGAAGTAGAGGGGAAAAGAGAACCGTTTAAAAGATACGGCTCAGGTCAAGACAGGTATTATGCATCTCCAGCAGGGTCCGACTATTCTGGCAAGTCGGTGGGAAAGTACAAATCGTATTCTAGCACTTGTTTACATGAAAGTGATAAAAGTTACGACAGTGATAGGCATGTATTAAGTCAGCATAAAAATGAAAGGAGAGAGTATAAACATAGCGAAAGAAGTTATGAGGAGACCAGTACCACAAAAGTGGACGAGGAAACTACTCTAAATGGTAAAGAACAATCAGAAAGTGGCATTAAAAGAAACTTGCCCCAGAACTTACTGAACATATTCAATCAAATTGCTGAATTTGAGAGGGAAAAAGGAAGTAAGCAGAAGAACCAGTGAAGTACCTAAGAAAATGCTATTATGCTGGATGTAGGTAAATGAATTTTTATTCCGGTATCTGTTAAGGAAAAATACATGCCCTTGAAATGCATATGAAAAGTGACAGTAAAGCAGAATCTGTTCTGTTGTGCAGAATCTGTTGTGCAGATTCTTTAAGGTTAAAAGATTGCATGGCGGAAAGAAAGATGCAAGGATATCTCATATTAAATATCAGTTACTATTTAAAATCAAAGGTCCTTGTACTCCGTAACTTGGGATGTTCCTGTACAATATTCTTGGTGTGACTGGATGAAATCTTAAATCTTTTGATGCCCTTAAATGGTAGTTGTGTAACCTGCATCAAATATGCACTTTAACAACAGGTGATTTTTTTTTTTTCTTCTTCTTCTTCTTAGGGTACTGTTGACTGTTAACTATTTTTGTATTTAAACCTAACCTCCAGATATTGAAAGGGGATAACTGAATGGAGCTGATGTGCCATCAATGTATATAGCTTATTTGATCATTAAATCTTATTAGTTTTGTGTCTTGGTTTTTGTTTTTAAGTCACTGGTGTGTTTGATACTGTTGAACTGGTGCATTGGTTCATATATGCTGCTTATGCACTTCCTGTTGAGAAACTCAGAGTGCTTTATAATTTAAGTGAATTCAACCCGCCAGTGTCTGCGAGAAAGCAAGCCTATTATGTTCACTAAATGCATCAAATATGTTCTTTAAGTAATGCGTATAATAAAGTTGAGGTAGAAGCAGAGGGTGCTCTAAAAAAGTGCTTATTGTCCTGAAATGTTCAAACGTGGGCCTTTGATCTTTGTTGTTGTTAGGGATTTGTGTTACAGTAGCTTGAAGGCAGTGATTGCAGCTGTAAGCGAAGTTTCCCGTATTAAGAATGAGTTCTTCAAAGAAGATTGGTAGAGCGCACTGAACTGAACGTCTGGCTGATTGCGCAGTACTGATTGTACTTCCATCTGCAAGTTTTCCAAGTAATTCCTAACATACAGGCCAGCTGCCAAAAACGTACCATGTAATGCTGAATAGGAAAAGTATAGTTCTACTGACTTTAATCCTATACTACCTATATCTCCATGAAGATATCTGAGATGACCATGTGATTTATGGTCCAGAATGATCTTGAGGCATAAGTTTTATTGCCCAGGTTATTGCTATAGTAACCTAAAATTACTTTCAGGATAAGTGCTCTGAATCACTTTTAAGGAGGGAAGATATTTACATGAAAAGTCCTAATCTTTTTTACAAAGGTTAAGCTTGCCCATTCCAGACAGTATTACTGTCTGTTCTGGAGCTTTTGCAAATATGTAACAGGTGTAATGTAGTCAGCTTATTCCCTGGAGTGGGGACCTAGTCTGCTTTACATTTGTCTTGAGATGGCAGCAATCATAAGTTATCTGTTTACTAGAATTATTTGCTTTAACATAACTAGCCTTTTCATTGTAAGAATGTGAACTGCTGGTTTCTGAAGGGTTTCCCAGATCTTTAGTTCTCCAACAGCCGAACTTGAGAAAGTAATTTGAAAGTTAATTTATTATGTAAAATATACACGTAATAACATTGCTACTATATAAGATATTGTATACTCTAGTAAGAAGTTAAGACATTTCTGGTAGAAGTTAGTGCTAAGATGTATTCTAATTGCCATTAGATCTTGCTATATAAATTAAGGTGTAAGTTAACCAATTTAGAAGTCTTAACTAATATGAGGCTTTTACTATGGCATTCAAAAGACTATTTAAGATTTTTTTCTGTGGTTATAAGTACCAGAGTTGCTAGCTCCACTGGGTGGCTGTGAACCAATGGTAGCTGCTTCTGCAGAACTGTTGATAGACAAGCTCAGGTCTATGACTTTAAGTGCTGAAGTCTGACTAGAAGCTGAACTTGTGCTTCTGGAGGATCTGAAAGACAAAAACGTATTCATCAGAATATAGAAATCCCTATCTATTGAGCAGAGCTTCTCCTGAAGGTTGCTTACCGTAAAGCCACTTGGCAGCAGTGTTACTCTATATAAGTGATAGATTTCTGCAGTGGATCTATGGGAACCTTGTTAGATCGTAATTGATTCAACATGTTAAAAGCAGTACTGTAAGTAGAATGCACTTTGAACGGGGAAAAAAGCTTATTCTAGGTTCTTATTCATGGCAGTCATCAAGAAAAGCATGCGTGTCTAGCTTCCCTATTCAATTAGGAAAGGGGGCCCACGTGAGCAACTGCAAGTGCAAAATCTGACTGGAGCGCACAAACTTGTGCTTTTAAAAAGGGAAATCACTTTTTAATTGGAGCACAGTTAGAAAAAGTAAATGTAATTATTCTGCAATTACTGTTTTATTTTAAACTGTGATGGATGCTGAAGTGAACTGTTAATTGCGTGCTAGAAAAATCTAGTGGACTTGATGGAGGGGAACATATAAAGAGACGTTTTTCATAGACGGTTGTGTAGGCAGGGACGAGACTGAGGGAATCTGGAAGAGTGAGGAATTCTGTTATTTAGGGAAGAATGTTGCTAGTTCAAGCTTTAAGGTAAAAGAGCATTGCAGGCACTTACCTGCTAGAGGCCAGTGAGCTTTGTGATGATGGTGAACTAGAACTTTGACTACCACCAGCAGAGGAAATAGTAGGAAGTTCTAAATTGGACTAGAAAATTGAAAAAACAAATTCTGTTGATCTTAGGATTCCTGTGTAATAGGACTGAGTATAACAGGAAAGTATATAATTCTTCCTTGTATTTCAAGACACGTTAAAAGCAGATGAATGCTTTTTTCCTGTTTTACCATAAGCACACTTTATTATAGAATTGAGGAGTTGCCTTTGCAAGACACGCCTCAGTAGATCTGAACTATCAATCAAGATTTTAGCAGCAGTCAACTAGAAAGCTCACCTGGTGAAAGTACATTTGAAGGGGTGTAATTAAGTCGGGATTTGCTTCTAGAACATCAGCTAACAGCTTGTCAATGGTTCTGTTGAAGTTTTTCAGTTCACGGAGATCGATGTCTCTTTCTTCTTGTGTTTCTGTTTTAGTTTTCTTTACAGACTGAATTTCTCTGGATAGTCTAGAACACTTTTAACATAAATATTTTAAAGCGTGCTATTGTGAAATTGCTATACTTCAGAAACCTACTAAGTAGAAATTCTGCAGTTTTAACCAGACTGCTCTCTATCGCTATGAAGTTAGAAGTTGTCATTACTTATATACCAACCTGTTTTATAACCCTTTCTAGTTTTGGCTTCTGTTCTTCTATGTCTTTGTTCAGCTGCAAAATAATTGCTTGTTTTTCCTTTTTTTGCTCTTGGTAGAGGGCCTCCTGCTTCAGTACCATATCAAAACTTTTTTCTGTGCTCTGCAAATTCATATTGAACAGTAGTTTTAGTTTATAGAACAGTTGTGATCTCTGTTCAAATTTTATATCACTTTGTGGTTTGATCTCTTATTGCTGCTACTTCTTTCTAAATGTACCTTAAGCAGTTAGTATTAATGATTATGCAACTCAGACTTCCTGACTATCAGATTAATTGCTTACTGGATGAATACTTGGGTAAAGAGACCACTGGGTGATTTACATAATTAAAAAATTGACGTTCAGAGTACTAACAATGAAGTTAGAGGTATATGCTTTCAGAAGTGCCTATGTGTCCCTGTACCAGGGAATATTGCAGTGCTTAACTGATCGGTGCAAGCTGTCCTTCTAAAAATAATGTATATGTTATTTATTTACATCTCCTGTGGGAAGAGATGGGTACCTTGGGTTTCTCAAGTATGGTGTATGTCTTGTGTTTAGAATAAGCAATAGGAATGTTTGCCTATCTTTATCTAATAACTCAGAGCTTAGAACAATCACCTGGGATATAACAAGGTGCCTTTGATTCCTTCTACTTAAGGAAATTTTAACTGAAATGTCCCACCTCAGAGATCAGTGCTGCCCTTTCTTAAGGGCTGTGTGTGTTTGATTACAAAAGCAGCCAAGACTAAATACTCAATGTGGGGGCCAAACACAGATTATGCTTTCCATGTGCTAGTGCTCAGCCCACTAAGTGAGTCAGCTAACTTTCTCTAGCAGTACTGTTTCCACAGACGGGAGCACCTACAACATACACAAAACAGAAAATTTTCTCCTAGAAAATCTGGGGACCTAGACACCAGGGGACACTTCTGGGACATGTGGATTTTTATTCCTGCAATACCAGACAGTATAATACAGTGTGCTACACAGGACTGTAACTACTTTCTTTTCATCAAATGGATGTGTTAAAATTATAAGCACCTGGATGCCAGCAAAGCACAGAATTTGGCCTGTGTGCCTGTGGCATTTTTAATCTTCTAGCTGTATGTGATTAAAAAGCCTGATGTTGCATTATGACTCAGCGAATTCAGATTCGCGAGCACTCAAACAATCTGACAGGAGAGGTAGAGCCTTCTAAATATTGTATCCATTGATGCAAAGTATGGGATGTAAAAAGGATTGAGGAAAAAATGTCACAGAATTTCCTATTCTTTCAGTGAGACGGTTTGCGTGGGTTGAGAGCTATATGTTGCAGCCTTGTCTAGTCAACTGAAACTCTTGTACTTTACCTGGAGACTTTCCTGAAGCTCTTTGATCTGCTTTCGTTTGTATCTGTATTTTTCATCAGCAACTCTTCTTTCCTCTTCTAGTTTCAATTTTTCACTGTACTCCTCACCTGGGATCCCAAACAATGACTCGGTGTAAATGCTGAACAAGCAGTATGTACAGCCTAGCTCAAGCTTAAGATATTCAATCTTCATTTTAAAGTAAGTCACGCTTTAACTGCATCAAAGAGTACTAATATACACCACATCATTTATGGCTAAACCAAGCAAAGAAGCCTTTTCCAAGGCTTGACGTGACGTTCTGCAGCTGTGAATTTGTGCTGAATGGCAGTCTTTTGGACAAATCACGTAGTTTAGTTTGGAATTACTCATTGCTGAACTCATTGATGGTTTTACGTTCAGTTACGTTTCTCTTCTTGATTCATAAAATCACATCACCCAAATGGGTACAGGAGAAAGAACCCTCTGCGTCACTTTTGGTTTAGCAAGCCCCTGATGAAAGCTGCTAGGCTAACTACTATTTCTAAAAAGTTTTTGACCACTTCTGTCTAATTACACACCATGTGTATTTTCAGCAGACATGTAATTTTGTTATTTAGTTGATTAAAATTATATATAATGCAAGTACTAAACTATAAGCTGCCTACATGAATTATTAAAAAGTAGCCAGAAAGCTGCTTTTTTTTTTAAAACAAATCATTTTTTTTCCAATAAAACCACAGAATAACGGAATTTGGTGTAAAGATACCCATAGTGACTGCTTTTCCACTGTTATCTCTTAAAGATACCTCAGGGTGTAGGATTTTTTTTTTTTTAACTCTATCACTTGTCCCAAGTGACTGTGGAAAAAATAACTGGTTTCATGAAATATAATAATTTAAGAGCCACTGTATCCAGAGCCAGCAGAGGGCACAGAAGTTAAATGATATTCTTCCTAGAGTAAAGTTTATATAATTGCTTGTGCTGCTGCTAAGCAAAGAAAACGTGAAAGTGGAAAAAGGAGAACATATTTATGAAGTGGAGAAAGGAGAGCAAGTACAGAAACACTTAACAAACGCTCAAGATATTTTCCAGAATTCTGTGAAAAGCTCAGCACTTTTAGTTGGCTCATCAATATTTTAAAAGTTGCTGACACTATGCCAAAATAGTACAGTTCTTACGTTTTACTCTTAAGTAAAACTCCATTTTCCCTGATGACAGCTTACTACTTTCTCCCTCCCCTCCCATGTGAAAGTCAGATAATGACAGCGTAGCTAAGAGATTTGCCTTCATCACTAAAGTGTTTATGCCTAAGCTGGCTGTAATTGAGCTAGCACTGGAAGGGGTACAGTTGCTTTGAGTAGTTCTGTGCCTAAGCTAGCTCAGTCTACCAAGTGAAGACTGCCAGTGGCACAGCTCTTCTTCTGTTGTTTGAATTAGTAGCTATGCATGACGAAGCATCGCAGAAAAGGAAGTGCTTTTTCCACTGTGCCAGGTACCTGTGCCCAGTTTACCCATTAGAGCTATGTATTTAGCTGGGCACTCCTCCCAATAAAGATGTTTTTCCCCAGTAACGGTCTATATGCTTTGCTTCCCCTTTACTGTTCCTACTTATGACTTTTCACAATATTTACATAGGTTTAGAGATGTTTACATAAATCAGATGATAGAATATGAACATAGTTCACATAGTTGATTCTGTCTTACTGCCCTTTTTTCTGTGCTTAGTTATTCTGCTCTGCCTTGCTGAACAAATCATAGCAACGTGTGAATTACTAAACTGACAGTAGCCAAAGGGAGTGTCTCTGGCTGATTCATTTGTGTCACAGAATTTCCCCAGTGCATACCAGTTTTACACCATCATCCTTAAGTCACCCAGCAAATAGCAATTTCCATTTTACGTACTTGTCTCAGTGACTTCCTTGAAAGAATTTCGGTAATTGCTGTTGCAGTTATTAAGTACGTGCAGAGTGTTTTCCAGAGCTACAATTTCTTTTTCAGCTTTGCAGATCTTTGCATCTAAATCATCACCTTCACGTTGAAGTGCTTCCTTTTCCTGTGCAGCCTGCAAATAAAACTGGCGTTTCAGGTGACTGAACAGATAGTGAAAGCATTAGGATAACTGTAAGGGAAAAAAATGCCAGCAAGATTCAGTAGTTAAAATCCTAGGTAGTTATGGGGAGTCATCCATGTGTTTAGAATTGGACTGAGATTTCAGCTACTAGGTAGCTGGAAAGAGTAGCTATTTACAGTAATTAATGTTCTTTAAGGTGTTTCATGTGCATTTCATTATAGTTGAGCATCTGCCTCTCCACCTAAGCTTACAAAGTCCTGACTAGCAGTACCCACAGTATGTACAAAGCACAGTTCTCGTGCTTTGTCCTGCTGGCGTGAACTGCAGCACGTGCCCACCCTGAGTTTCCTGTCACCGCAAAATCCAAGTAAGAGTTAAGCTTGTACATTATATAAACCCATCAAGAGAGTGTTAAAAGCCCTTCAGTTTTTCTGGAAATTATCCAGTTGAAAGAGGCCTCATTAATCTGAGCTGCAAGACTGGTAAGAAACCCAGCCAGCCAGAGAAGGGAAGTATTTTCTATAGCCCCTGTATAAAAGATGTATTTTCTGAATTATGATTAGTTGCCACACCTAAAGAGGGACAAGGACTACAGTACAGTGTGCATATACAGCTGTGGGAGCTGGAGGGAAGAGACTAGAATGTTTAGAGAGAGAAGAAAGCTGTCATTACCCCAGTACTTTGCTATAGCTAAACATCTGCCAGAGGCAACCAGTGACGAGCTACAAGGAAAGGGGGGAGACGGTGTAATATGTATATTAGCAAAGCATCTCAAGTAACTTTTCTTTCCCCTTGAAGTAATCCTCTCTGTGTTTACCCACTGGAATGCAAAGAGGTGAAATTGTATCATCTTGTCAAGGAAAGCAGCGACTAAGAACTTTCTCTATGCTTTTCAGAGGTAACGTGATGTCTAGTAGACTGAGTAGAACGCCAAGTGGCTACACAGAAGGTGTCAGTAATGCAGAGAGTCTTCCTTCTGCAGATAATGCATATAATGACGAGCTCTTTTATTTGCTGGTGAAGGGAACTTAGCTTACAACTTCTAAGTATACTTGGACAATCACCTTTTGATATTATGCACTTTTCATCCTCTTTGCTATAGAGTTGGGGGATCAGCAAACAGGTTTCCTTCTTTGAAAGTAAAACACATATGCTCTTTTAATGTCAGTAGTACAAAAAACTATTACTGTTCCAGATGAATGAGACTTTGGAAGGAATAATAGAATATGGATGCTGATTTAGATGGAACTCCTGTGGCTCGCTGGGTAGCAACTCAGAATAAGGTGTCCTGTAGGAAAACCTGCCCAGATGCAACATTGTATTAGGAAAGCTTCCTTCAAAGGATCTTTTGCTACTCAGAAAATCCAATATTGTCGAAGTACCCCCCCACAATTGTAGAGGGTGCACGCACAGTGACCACAAGGGCTATATTGAGGGTCTCTTGCTTGGATCTCATAGTAGCAGAAGTACCATCTTTTAGAAATTTCTCACTTAAAAGCAAGAAGAAGATGGACTGTAGAGCCAAGATGGCCGTTAGAGGCATTTTGATTTAAGAGCAAATGAGACAATTTGTGGATATTCTAGAATCTGGGTATTGCATTATGGATAAAGACTGCTTTTTTTTTTTTTTTCCCCAATGAAAAGCTGAAGTGTGCATAGATGAATGATAAGTGAATGGAGGAAGTTCACATTTGTCAAGGTTTAAAAGTCATATGGTGAAATTAATACTTCAAAATAACACTCTCTGAAGGCTAGAAGAATTTAAGATTATATCAAACACTGTGATAAACTCGTTTTCACTTGTGGATGGACTGCCATTGAGCCAGTAGTACTTCGTGTGGCCTTGTAGAAAATTAATGAGCACTGAAGTAAGTACTTGTTGAGATTTTCAAACTGCGCTAAATTAAGTCTCTACTTCTATCAGGACTGACCACAGAGATTAATCTGAAATCTCTGTATTATTTGGATAACCAACAGTGTCAGATAATGGAAAACAATTAGACTTAAAAGTAAATGGTAGAGAAGAAGGTTACTGTAGTAGAGCCCAGGGAAATCTATAGCTTCATACTCCACTACATCAGTCATAAATTATAATGCTAGTAAAATACCTTAATTATGTAGTAGGCCTGAGTTTTCTCCTCTTCTCCCTCAGGTGGCATCATGACAACAGTAAGAATTTCATATCTGCATCTCAGTTTATCGATTTTGTTCAGGCGATCTTGGAATTCAGCACTAATTTATTTTGAGGAAAAATAAATGGGTTGAGAAAATGTTCATCTTGTAGTGTTTTGTGGGCAGTTCTTGCTATAGCAGTTCCAATTACTGGTGTTACCCCAGCATCCGGCCCGTGTACTGGGGACAGGTATGGCAGCCGTTGAGCTGATACTGGTTTTTGTTGCTCCCGCAGCCAGAGTCATTTGTTTTTCTGGCTATCTGCAGTTCTCTCTCAATTCTAAAATGAGTCAAATTGACTGTCATATTCCACATCAGTGCATCATGGGAGGCTGTGCCACAGTCCTCTCCAGAAAACATTTAAAAGTTTGGTATTCAAATCCTACAGCTGCACAAACTGCCCCCTGCTGATATTATCTTAATATTGCCACTGCTAGATGAACGTAAGCAACAGCAGGCAACAACCCCAAATCAAATTACATGGAAGTACCAATTAGCTGTGTAATTATCAAAGGGAAAAAACACACAGTCTGCACTCTCCCTGAGCAGTTAAGCTTTAGTCACACTAAATCACTCTAATTTCCCGTTGTGTGGGGTGTGGTTAGCTGAGGAGTGAATAAAAAGCCTGCCAGATTTCAGCAGCTCAGCTGTTGAAGCTTTGAATTTTGGCTGGATTTAAGCACTGACTACAATGTAGATATTAGGAGTTCAGAGCTAGATTGTCAGAAATATGTTGCATATTAAAGAAGGGAAAAGTTGCTTTAAATGCGGCGGCTTTATAAGATGTGTCCTGTATCAAAATAGGTGGGCAAGAAGTGAGACACATACGTACTGCAGGAGGCTTAAGAATTTTGTTATACAGGGCAGGTAGTGGAGAACGCATTTATTTTTTTTAAAAAAACTTATTAGATAAGCCAGAGAAATAACAGTTTTATCAAGTAATTATGACTAAACCCTCTTCAAAAGCAACTTCTCTAAGTTGTTTGTCAGAGCTCTAGAAACGGTTTTCACAGTTTCTGATTATTTTGCAAAATGCAGGTTCACGCATGTGACCTTTACTTTAAAAAGCTCACGTCTGACATTGTAAAGTTACAGTAGCAGCACAACTGCCACTGCAGTTTCCTCTCAATAGTAGAGAGGATCTTTGCTAGCAGGTTAAACAATCATCTCTTGCCAGTCCATGATACTGGACAGCAGAGACTGCGTCGCTGTCAAAGGCTTAAAACTGCAGGCTTTTTTTCAGAGAAAGGCTAGCAAAAAAGATCCTAAACTGTTTCACTGTATGACTTTGAGCAGGAATTAGTTCATCCTCAATTTCTCTATTGGTGAAATACAATAAAAGGCTTATCTCTCTGTAAGGAAGTACCCGTGTTAAAGGTGGACGTTTTAAATTGAAATTTCAGTTGATCTCAGTTTACATTTATGTAAACTTTACATTTTCAGCCATTAACACAATTTAAGAACAGGGAAAACTACTAGCTATTTTTTTTTATTATGCTGAAGTTGGAAAAAAAAAAACACTGGAGAATGATTAGTTAGGATTTTTAGGGAAAGGTCCTTTGGTGTGTTTTAAGTTGTACTGCAGTTCTTGACTTGCTGTGAATGAGATTTTGAAAATCAAGAATAATTACCTTATGCGTTGCCGTTCCTGATCCACAAGCCTTATCTGCGAATCTATCATTGCCTTATGAATCTTGATTTCTTCAGTTCTTTCTGCTATTGCTGCCTTTAACTTCAATTTTTGTTTTTCCAGCGTGAGAACTTTCTCTGCCTTGTTTGACAGAGTATCTTGAAGACGTTTCAATTCTAGTTTTAAGAGATTATCTTCAACCATCATCTCCTAACAAATGTCAAAAAACGCGCAAAATAAGAAAATATCTTTTTTTATTAATATATTTATAAATAAGTTAGGAAAAATATAAAGCATCCATTACCTTACCCTCTGTATATACAACTGTAAGACTCATTCTGCTCTGCATTTAAGGATGTTCTTAGTTTCTCCTTTGCTAACAGCTTACATGGTGAGTGCTATATGGGTAAGTTGTTTCTTGAATGGTTTCCTAGAAATTCTTCAGAATCGCTAATTCAGACCGAGTTATGTGTCATTAGGCATTTTCATAAACAACTTTATTTTAATTTAGCATTACGAATTGTGAGAGTATAAAGATGATTAAAGAAATGAAGCAGACCTTACAAGGAGCTTTTTCAAACCGTTATTATCTTACTTGAGCTATTACAAGAGTCTTGGAAAATGTTCTAGATTCTGTATATCTAAGAGTTATGCTGTGTAATGAGCAAATATATATATATATACACATATATATATATATATATATGAAAGCTCATGAAAAGCAGTCAGTGCTGAACCTCATTAGCATGCGAACACTGTGAATCATTTAAAAACAAACAAACAAACAAACAAACCTCTTATCCCAAACTCTAACTAGTTATTTTTCCTCTCCAACTTCTCTTATGCCATCACCCTGTTTCCTTTGTTCATCTGAATTTCACCCCCTAAAAAAAAGTTCCGGGCCAAGGAAAGAGATGGTTCTAACTGAGGAACAAGTGCAGCAATGAGGTTGACAGTAAAACTAAATCTTCTTGCTTTTTTGGGGGTGCTATTCTGTGGTGTCAGTGCTAATTAGACCCTGTATGGTTCTGCTGTCTTAGGGCTTCCTTCAGGAGGGGTAGAGCTTATTGCAGGAAAAATGAGCAGTCATTGGAGGTTTTGGGAACGTTTCCCTGTTTTGTGCTTCTCAAAATACAGTGAAGACTTTTGTTTTATTTCTAATTCCCTAATGAATGGGAAAGATCAAAACTGTCTCCTGCCAAAATCTCAAAATTTAATAAGATTAAGTCAAACTAATCAGCATCACAGATTGAGAATGAAAATTTAATACTGGGAGAAGGCATGCTGACCAGAAGAAGAAATATTCAACTCTGTGAGCTGTTTGATAGGCAACTATGGAGACTTGCAGGTGGGAAAGGGAGGAGGAATCATAACATGCTATTAGTCTGCTCAGCATCTTGAGCAATAAATAAGTAGTCTATTTTAAAAGCAGTGTTCTCAGAAAAAAGCACTCTCAAGATGCTTCGTGTGGTATACGCAGTATCTGATTAAATTGATAACTTCATTCCCAAGTGAACTTTGTGCTGCATACAGAGGAGAAGCAACACTTTGCCTAGTGACATAATAGCCATGAGAGTGACTTCAAATCAAAGTTTGGGAAGGAAGGTGTGAGCTAAGAAACTGTGAGGGGCTTTCTTACGTTGCTCTGCAGGAGACTGACAACAGCCTTCAGATCAGATCACTCGTGAGTTTGTGCGTTTAAAAAAAATATGCTCTATGTCAGTAAAGTTGGAAAATAATACTGTACCTGCTTAACAGCTTTAGCTTTTTTTAACTCTTGATCTGATTTCTCATTGAAAAGATTTAATTCATTTATCTTGATCATCACACCACTTGTTTCTTCTCCTGTCTTATCCATTGCTCTCTTGATGAAATGGACATCACTCTGTTTCCAAATAAGTTATATTTAATTCATTTCAGTGAATGCAGATTACACCAAAACCTAGCAGTTGATTTGAAATGAAATATTTTTAAGTCCTGGAACCAGGGACCACCATCATCTTGTGTCCATATGCTGCTGTGTGGACAGCGCCTTGTGCAGTGCAGTTGTGCTGCAGATTGCTGTTGCAACATTAATGGCGCTCATTGCTTGTTTTATTTGAAGCATAATAATCCTAGTATGATCATGTGTTTTGGTCTAGATAAAAAAAATGCCCTCGCACGTCTGACCATGGCTTTTATATTCTTCGTTCATCTTCACAGAACCATCTGACTTCGATAAGACGCCACAGTATTTAATAAATTCCAATGTTTTGATTACACTCACTGCTCAAATTTTGCATCTCTTCAAAAATGAATTTCATAGACGCCAGTTTCCAGACATTAAATCTTGTTATGGCATTGATCTCTAGTTAAAGGGCTTGCCTATGAACAGTTTCTTTCCCTCACTAAGTTGATCTAATTTTTTCTTAACTGTTGCTTTGAGAAGCCAGCCATGGTATTTTATTAAAAACTTGACCTTTCTTATGTAAAAAGAAATCTTTATGGTTTCTCCTTAAAAGGGTTTTCAAAACGTGGGCTAAAACGTAGCTGACTGATTGAACAGAGTTGCTTCAGATACATTACAATAAGAGAGTATGAGTTGGCTACAGAGTAACTGACTGGTTCACCTATGCAAGGAAGGATTTGTAGAGAATTATATGCATTTGTAGAGAATTAATGAAGGAGACTGGGGAGTGGAGAATTGGAGAAGCAGCATGTATGTGCAAAATCCTCCCATGGGACTACATTAAAGACAAAAATAGTATTTCCAAATTACGTATCAACAGAGGGGTCAGCTAACTCAAATACTGTCCCTTCAATTTAATAACGTTACCTTGTGAAATTCTAAATGCAAATGTATCTATTATTTTATGAAAAATATACAAAAATAAGGACCAGTGTCACAGAATAACGTTCTCTAATTGTCAGTTGTTCTAGAGATAAATTCAGACCTTTGCAAGCAATCATATCTTGAAATGGAAACTAAGCTTGTCTTCCCAGCATTTCAACACTTCACGTTAATGTCTTCATGTTAATGTGTCTCAGTGGTATAGTAATGATGTACTTTCTGGAAGGTGCAGGGAAAGGGTGTACATGAAGTTTTCCCTATGGCTTACATATATTTAAATCTAGTACTAAGTTATTAATAAGAAATTTACTTAATTCATTGAATTTTTTAGGAACTTGCACAGAAAACCTGTTGTTGTAGGAAGTTACCTGAAGTTTCTTGTGTTGCGCGTGTAAAACATTATACGTATTTTTCTTTTCTTCTAAGGTTTTCTTAAGTTCAGCAACTTTTGCTTCCAGAACTTGTTTTTCATCTGCATTAACCTCTCCTTCTAACCGTGACAGCCGTCTCTCTACTTGCTGAATATAAAAATCCTATTAAAATAATTTAAAAGAATAAATTAATAGTCTGAGATAAGCAATTATAGCCTTTCCATAAAGCTAAAACACGAGATATAAACTTCGAAATAGCTTTGTTGGCTTTAGGACATTCACCTAATTAAGCTATTGTTTTATAATAATCTATGGCTTATAAACCTCATTAATGTGAAACAGTAATAAAAAATTTTCTTAGATGACTGATGCGCTATGATGGTTCAGAAGTCATCTTCTAGAAAAGTAACAAAGCGTACACAGCAAGTCTGCTGTAGGGAGGCTTACAGTGGAGTTGCCATCTTGCTGTTACCAGTGGATGTTGATGTAAAAGGGCAAATTTTCAAAGTGGTGCATAGGAAATATGCACAAAATCCAATTAGTAAATAACAGGATTTTGGCATGTACCTCTTGTATCGCTTTAAAAATTTACCCTGAGGTGTCCGTGGTTCAGAGGGATCAAAGTAAACAATTGATTTGAGAAATTAGTGGGGGAAAAAAGAGAAGATCCAAAAGCAACGCAATCCACACGCACACACTGTTGGTGATATATAGCAATTTTCAGTTATTTCAGTTTTATTCACAAACTTAGAGACAGAAATGCAGACTTCACATTCATACTGCACAGAATTTTTGAAGAATAACATATTGGTAAAAATTACAGAACTCAAGCTATTTACTCTCATTAGCCCTAAGGAACGATCATGAAGTGAGGGCCTGTTAACGTTTTACCTGGTTATACATTATTTCCTGTTGTCTTAATGCATCCGCATCAAGTCTGCGCAGACGACTGTTAAGATTTTTAAGTGATGTTCGACTTCCCTCAATTTCTGCCACAACACACTGCTCCTTATCCTTCTGCACCTTTAACTCTTGAGTTTTCTTGAAATGTAGGTCTTTCAAATGTTTCATTTCTATTTCTTTTTCCTGATGACAAATTAATGATAGTACATAAGTTATAAGGAATGATTTTTTTTTTTTTTTTTTAAAACTTGGATCATACCCTGCTATTACATGACCTTTTAATATTCAAGGAATGCTACTTCTTCCTGTCGCTTCAGAAAACTAAATTCCTGGCCTCCTTTAAAAACAAAAACCTCCTGTGTCTTCTAGTATATGTAAGTAGGGAAATGCCGTTTGATTTCTTATGAATGACTTATACAAAAAAAGCAGATAGAGGCTTAATACGAAATCTGTTAAAGCCAGTTACATTTTTGCACTGCTTTCAGTGGTGTTTGGATCATGTCTAGACAGAGGCATTTAATTTCAGAAGTAAACTATTTTAATTTCCTTCCTATTCATGTGTCCAATTTTGAGCTATATTCCTGGAGGTTACGACTGTAATGATAAATTCATTTACTAGAATTGGATCAAGATTTGGCCATCATTTAGTAATCTCACTTGCATATTTAAATGCAAGTATTTAATAAAAATTGTTTATTTTCCTTTAAATGAGGTTGTCAATATAAAGAGAGGTTAAATAAGCTTTATTGTGCAATGGTACTCTACCACAGATTTAAGAGGGAGAAGTGTCAGAGGACTAAAGCAAAAAATGGTGAGATTTCATCCACATTGTTCCTGTACATATCTCTTTACAGTAAATTAATAGATGCAGCAAATAGACATGTGTGTCTAATATGTTGATGGAAAGCATTCCTCTGACTAATACATTACAGACATTGTTCAAGAACAGTTCATCCTAGTTAAAATATTACCCTAAAGCTGTAGAGCTGCCAAGCTCAATGTCATCTTAGGTTATCCGCCCCATATGCAAGTAAAGAAACCCTGCTAATAACCATTATTAGCCACCCTGGTAAAAGTCTTAAGGGAAGCAAATAAGGTTTTCAGTTTAATGAAGTGTTATATCATTGCAGCTTGTTTTTAAAATCTCTGAAAATTTCAAACAAAACATTTACAGTAAGGCCTATAATTTAAGAAACTATAAAACAAAGATGTCCCCTCTATAGTTTATGTATGTATATTTAAAATGCATAGTTAATGTCTGTAAGGTCATTAAGTTTGAAAAATACAAGTAAGACTCAATCTACTACAGGGGATTGTTTCACATAGGTGCTGCAGGAAACAATACAAAAAGGAAAAAAAGTGCAACCATGTGCTGTAGGTAGTTTTGTTGTCACTTGTGCGGGAACACCTTCTCTGTCACATTCATGTAACCTAGTCATCTTACAGTAGAGAAAGCTTCAATGTATCCAATACCCAGTCATCTAGCAAAATGCAAGATATGTATCCAAAAATGTCCTAACCTTCTTGTTAGGAAACTGATAGCTTAGAAGTTTAAGGCTCTTGGCTCCTCAGCAGCCCATGCAGTAGAGTGTTTGGAGAGAGGAATGCCCGACAGAGCTAAGCAGAACACAAAATATGTTTTTGTATATTGTTACAAACCAGTAGAAAAATGTTACCTCATGTAAGTTTGCCACTTTTCAGTAAAGAACTTTATTTTAATCAAACCAAGAAGCTGCAAGTAACGGACGGTGCAGATGTAAACGTACTGTTTGGTAAGCGTATGCAGTCCGAATACTGGTTTTATGTACGATATGTAAAGTGACGATTCCATAAGCCTTCCCACAGTATTATGTTTATCCTATGTTAATACAAGGGGACACATTTTCTACTTTACTAGGATCACTTATGTTCTTCCAGAGTTTTCCCAACACAGACCTAGACCCCCCTCTATCCTGATGGCATCAGTTTGAGATGAAGTAGCTACTTGTCATTAGTAATACCTACATTCCATTCTGAGCCATAAATAAGTTTGTTCCATATATAACTTGCAAAGTTCAAATGAATCCTCATTTGCAGAAACTACCTAAAACATCTTACCTTGACAATTTTCTCTTCTTCCTGTAATATTTCTTCCATCCTCAAAGCTTTGTCTTCTGAACTGAGTGTTTTCTCAGTCACAAGCTTCAGTTTATTGGAAAGACTTGCATTTTGGTCTTTAAGAGAGGTTAATCTAAACAGAAGTACATGATGTATCAAGTTAAACTAAAGGTTGCACATACAACACTGCTGCAGGTAAGTAGCATATCTTACTGAGCAGTTGCCTAATAAAGCAGGCTGAACTTGAATGTATGATAACCAAGGACATATTCATATTTTACACCTGCTTTAAAAACAAACAAGGATTACCAGGAGTATTTCCAAGTTGTACAGTGCCAGAAACCACAGAGGATGTGAAACAATGAGAAAAGTGGATCCTTTAATAATCAACATTATTTAAAGTTCCTTGCTCAGTCAAGGATCTGATTACATGACTCACTCACACAAACTGTTTCTAAAGGTCTGTTTCTTACCTGGCTTTTTTTTTCTGAGTTTCTTTCTTCAGATTGGCTACTCGTATTCTTGAAGACTCTAGATCAGAAGTAGTTCTTTCCACAGTGCATTTCAAAGTGTTCAGCTAATAAATTAAATAAGAGTTTGATTGCTCCATTTTGTACTTTGGTACACGTTAGGCCCCTTAAAATTGTAACGGTTCTATTTATTGAAAAGTATTCCATTTCTTTTAACAGTTTTCTAAATGAAAAGTGCTGCAAAATTCTGAGCTGCTATAAATCAGGACAGCTATTACGGTCAGTAAACTAATTCACATCATCTGACTACTGGGCCAAAACTAGTTAATTATGAAGGTTACAGGAAGAATTATGAAGTAGCTGTAGGCTGCAACCCTTGTCCAATGGCATCTATATGAGTGGAACCAGGCTTTTACAGAGCCTGTCCGATTTTGATGAGGTTCTTTGTAACCATGGATACCCTTATATCTCTAATAACTATTTCTAGTCCAGACTTCTTGAGTATCTAGAACTACTTTGATTAAGCTAAGGGAAAGCTGTTTGGAACAAAAATAAGCAGACATCTAATTTGGTAAACAGTACATGGCAATATAAATAGGATAGGAATATTTGTTCTTTATAAGTAGCTCATTAGTCTTCACAGTATCACTTAACAGTATAAATGTAATTGTCTTCACTTTCACAGGTGAAGAAACCTTATAACCTGTTCAAAAGTATATAGGAGGTTTCTCACTGTATCAGAATGAGCTGCAAGTCTCAGATTCTTCCTGTTTCTCAGTTGCATCCCACAGAGGCTCTGATGCTGAACAAAGGCAGACTATTTTCATTCACGCATTACGTAGCATTAATTGCGAACATCTTGAAGGAGCTCGCAGCTTAGAGAGAAAAACCTGCCAATTCTGTGAATTCTCAAGTTTGCATGAAGTATAAGGTAATCTGGAAGTCTACAGCTTGTGAGCTGCCTGAGGAATCTGGCCCCCAAAGCCCACTGCCGTTTTCCCCCACACTGGAACCTCTGATTGAGGGTTTTTGTTTTTGTTTTTTCGGTCATGTAGAACACGGATAACTTAATTAGGGAATCAGTTTATGAACCAGCTACTACAGAGAAGTTATCCAAATTTAATGCCACAATAGATGCACAGAAGTATTTTGGAATCACTGAGCCTTGCTGAGTAGCCCAGACAGTGTTACTGTTTTCTTGTTAACAGAAAACTTAAATAATACAAGGGTGTTCCTTCTTAAAAGGCTCAGGAGACTGAAATTACCTCTTACAACTACTTACACAAGCATTTAGAAATGTAACAATGCAGCTCACTCCTAGTGCTAAGTACAGATTAAATAATAACTAACAGAATCAAGCTCAGCTTGTTCATTAGGGCAGCCCTCTCATACCGCCTCTTGATTAGAAAGCTATGTGAAAAATGTTTGGTTTTTTTTCCCCCCTCCAGTAATTGTAACATAACAAGGACTATCAACACTTATTTCTCAGAGCATAGGATAACAATTGTTTGGAATCCAGAAGAGATTTCTCTTATCTTTATACAATACTGCAGTCTACACATGCTAATGGCAAGACACACCTTCTGAAGCATCTCATAGCACTATACAATTCAAGAGAAAATTCATCCGTCTCATGCCAGCACTATAGAGAATACGAGGTAATCTCCGTGGCTGTGCTTTTGCTCTTCTTTGGCACTAACAGTGAAGGGACTGAGTTCGGGATTCAGATTCCAATCACCAAGAGTAGACTTGGAGGAACATACTTTTTGTTATATAATTAGGAATGTAGTATAAAAGCAGGGAAAAGCAGTTTTTATTCCTACATTTCTTCTATCCAGTTAGAACTTAAAGATGTTTTCAGTCTGTTTTTCTAAACTGTTTAGTCATCATTACCTCATCCTGCAGCTGAACTCTGTAAGTATCCTGGGTTTGATACTCGTTTCGGAGGCTAGTGGCTTCCCGTTCAGCAGAAGAAATTGTCTTTTCATACTCCACATTATTAACAGTTTCATTTATCAAAAACGAAGTCTTCTCTTTCAGCACAATTTCTTTTTCTCGCATCTCCTGTTTTATCTCTGTTATTAGCTAGCAGAATAAAAACAGAGACTTGCTTACATTAGTTAAGATGTGCTGCGTTAGTAAAAGGTACAACCAGAAGACAGATTGCTGTTAAGACTTCTCTTTGCATGAGACGGCCTCGTTGTCACACCTTTCTTGAATTACTTTATTCCACTGGTATCTCATAACACAAAAATACTGCAACTGTTTTGGATTGGCCACTTCCAAAATATTATTCCAATAATTTATTTTTTTTTATTAAAACATGACCCCATACACCTGCATGAAATAAAAATAATTTTGATTTATTTCCCCCCCCCCCCAAAAAAAAAAGAATTTCATGAAAGAAGACAGATGGACTCGAAAGGCTGGAAAAACAACAGTGAAATTACAATGGGATGCTTACCTAAGCTGACTGACCTATTTGTAGCTGGTCAGTGGAAATTGTGTATTTTTTGAAGTTAAGTAAAAGATTATTTATTGGGTTAACTGTACCATAGCTCTAAAGTGAAGCAGAACATATTTACAAAAGCATCAGTAAGACTACTCTTTGGACTACTAATGTATGGAAGGATGGCCAGAATTTTTTTTTTTTTTGGTCTGTTTGTTATGGTATCTCAGTACATAAAATTCCAATAACATACAAAATACGCCAGCTCAATTAGACCATTTTATTCTCTGTTCAGTAGTATTCCTCCTGGCATGTTATTTTCTATTATTAAATTGTTAAGTGCTACATCTTAAGTTTGTTCAAACCATATTTTACTCTGGGTATGCCTAATACTCATATAGACAACAGCCACAGAAGTTGTAATCTTTCAGCAAGAAAATACCATACTAGCGGAGTGAAGATTTGAGATAGAAGCTTCTTGTAGATGCATTCATGCTTTCTCCTCCATCCTCCCACCCCTTCAAAAAAGCCATTGTTTGGAATTGACATTTATAGCATTTCTGTGCATGCTGATCCATATAGCTTTTTCTGTTGCACCAGTTCTGGTGCTCTTCAAAACTTTGAGGAGTTCCTACCTCTCCTGACAAAGTCAGGATAGAATATACTTTGTTTGTACCTCTTTCCATGATAACATCTGTGCTTAAGATAGTCAGGAAAAGAGATGAAGACTGTACCTTTTAGACATTAAAACTAACTTGTAATACTCAACAGGGTCTTCTTTGATTTGAGGAGTGCTGTTGCTTCTCTGGATTTGCAGGTCATACTTAGAGACCAACTTTAAATTTTAATGTGATTATTTATCATAATTCTGACATAAGTGGTAGTCAAGCATTTGTTCACGGAGGTAGAAATTTTCATTCCTCCCCGTTTTAAATGTTCACTATTTTATTTTGTTTTTTGTATCACAGCTCAGACACGGAATCTCCTCATGGCAATTGAATTGTCCTTATGTGCTAAGAAACAACATTCCATCTTGTTGCTTCTTAGATCACACACAAAAAGCAGTACTGGAATACAGTATCAAGCAGAGCACAGTTACTTACACTGAGAGATACGTCTTTCATAATAAATGTAATATTCTGATGATAAAATTCATCAAAACAATGCACTGCTTTTGCATACCTTTCTGTAACACCTGGACTCTGGAAAAGCTTAATGAAATAGAGGTCACCGCAAGAATACCGTTGAGCTAAAAGACTCTCTTGCTCTGCGCGCAAGTGTGGCAAAATTTCAGGCAATTTTATAGATATAAAAGTAGGCCCAATATATAGATCAGTCACAATGGTGTTTTACCACAGCACAACGATCAATCTGTTGATCTCTTCTTTGCATCTGTTCTATTGCATTCTCCCACTGCCTGATGACTTCTTGCCTTTCCTGATGAACTCTGCGAAAATCTTCAGCTGTTTTGTCAAGCTCTATCTGCTTAAAAGAAAGGACCCCTATGATTTCTGATTTAAGAAAAAAAATCATAGATAGCAGGAAATCTTCAAGAACTTTAAGCACAAACCTGAGCTGTTACGGTTTCTGTAAGCTCATTATCAAGAGCTCTGCGTTTCTGATTTGCTTGCACAGTCAGCTTCTCTACTTGGAGCGTTAGTGCCTGACATGAAATGACACGAAAAGATAATGTATTTAATAATGAATATGTAACGCCTTATACATTTTTAAAGTTCTGCTACACTTATGGGTGGAAAACAACCCCTATGAAATCTGAACTTGTGACTGGAGTGTCTGTTTATACTGTCCCTCATTACTCTGGACAGTTTTACTCAAAAAGCCTTACTTTATTCTCAGTAACATTAACAAATTCAGTTCTAATGGAAAAATCTACATTACCTATACATATATGGCATGCATTTTTTTAAACAAACTCCCTGCTTAATTCAATGGGAAGTTGTGTTTACAACTGGTGGCACAATTTTTCTAATGACTGCTAGAAATTTTTTTTTTTAATGCTTTCTTATCTAGGTAAAAATAAAACTTAAATTTTACCCAAAAGAACAAAGAAATTTATGTCTATAGTTATGCCTTTCACCTGTGTAAAACGTAACCTCTCTGACCTTTAAAATGAGCCTTATATTCCTTATATGGAATTCTATTGTTGTACTAAGTGCAAATCATCATACCTCAAAAGCGCTGTTCTACAGAATCTTGTCTCAATCTTATTTGACTTGACAACACAGCGAAGTCTTTAGAGGCTAAAAATGGGTCTCTGTTTTTGTTTCTACAAAATTGCTCTCAGATCTACTTACTCCTAGTTTCCCTTCATCTTGTTGTGCATATTTCTGGATTGTGACAGCATCATTGTCTTTGCGATTCGATTCCTCTATCCAACTCTCCAAAACTTCCTCACCACAGTTCATCTGTTGTCTTAAGTCTTCCAGCTTCTTAGTGGTTTTGTGTATATTATTCTAGTAAAATTTGAGATAAATTAAAGGGTTCGTGTTAAATGTCTAATAAATTCTGTGAATATTAATTGAAACAACCAGTTCAAGTTTCTGTAAGAACTTAAGTTTACATAGATTTATTGTCAACAGAGTTTTAAGTTCTGCTTTCTTTTTTATTCAGTAAGTTACCGCAGGTCTAAAATGGAAATTATTTTAGACAGGAAAGTCAACTGCTGGCAAGATATACCTATTTTATTAATATGTGGGATATTCATTCCACACAAGAAACTGATCTGAGGCATCATATGGTAAAAGTTTCTCCCTCACACGCTAAGGCCCAATTTTAACATCCTTATCCCACAGTCACTTTACAAATAGTCCCACGGGACTGTAAAGAGACTTCCTGATATGAAGATGATAGAATCTGGATCCAGCTGAATAGCAAGACCATCTTGATCTTGATTACCTTTTGAGAGACTGGGGACTGCAAACAGACTTAACAAGAAGAAAGAGAGCATGAAGAATAAGCAAACATAATTGAAATGATTCAAAGAAAGTAAAAAAAGAAAAAAAAAGACAGTTTGTAAAAGAGATGAGAACTGTAATTGGGTAACATTACCTAATAACGTAAGTTTTGAATTCTTGAAATCATGCAACAAGTTTTTTTACGGAGTAAAAAAGATCTGCCACCAGCAATTTAATTTTTAAAGTATAAAAAAAAAAAAATCTGTAAGAATTAACAAGATGCTGATACGGAAACGTGGCTTTGTATCTGGCATTAAGAATAACTCTGTCGATACCCCACCTTCATAGCATCACTCTCAGTTCCCGAGTTCTTGATTACGGTAACTGTCTTGAAAGACTGAAGTCTTTCAATACCTAGTTAATATTTGCTAAGTCTTATCCAGGCCATGCAAGGAGTTCCTCGTCGTCATTCTGTGCACACAGTGAGAAGTACATCTAGATCACTTACAGTTTATAAGTTTTACTTATAAATAGCTTTTTGACTTTTGTAAGTGTGAGCACAAAAAAAAAATCATAAAAACTAATTGCAATATGAAAGTTCCCTTAAATTTTTTTTAAAAATCTTACTTCTTGACTGTTTTTCTTTTCTCTTAAGGAAACTATCTCATCTTCCAGTCGTTTAATCTCACTTTTGAGACGTCCACCTTCTCTCTCAGCAAGGGCTTTAAAATGTTGCTCAGTTTCAATTTCATTCTCTCTGGCTTTGTAAAGAGACTAGAGAATAAAACAGTTCAGCATTTTACAAGGAATAACAGACCTTTATCACCAAAAAAGCATTTTATGTACAACTGAATCAGAACTCAGAAATGGCATGATTCTGTCATTTAAATACTGACATTTTCAGAGTAAATTTAGTGTTTAGATTTTAGTATCTCAAATACATATACACCGTACTGTATCAGATGTTCACAGATCAACCATTTATATCTTAATTACCTAATTCGAAAATATTTCACCCAAGGTTCAGAATCTTGGTATCTTAAAATCAAAATCTTAGTATCTTAATCACTGATGGCTTTCTGTCAGATTCGGGAGGCACATCAAGAGAAATAATTTTATTGTTTTGAGCTGTGCACCAGGATGGCCTATGGCAGCATCTCTATATCATCTAATCTTCCTGACAAAAGTGATTTGATAGGTCTTTTTCTATATAATAATTAATCTGTTACTTACTAGAAGCTTCTCTTAAGCAGAGAATAGCTTGTGCTGCCTCTTTCTTCATAGGTGAACTAAAACTTGAATCTAGCATGGTAAAATTGAAGAGGCTGTGCTGCTGCAGGGAAGTTTTTCTAAGGCTTTTTCACATAGAATATTCTACCTGAAATGCGTGCAGCTTTGGTTTGGCAGTCTTTGAAAAGCTAAGCTACACATTCCAGTGAGTTAACTCAGGATCTAAGTGTAGGTGTCTAACACCTTAACCGTCTCATTTCATTTGTCATGTGCAAAAATTAACTCTTCATTTTCTTTTTCCTTGACCAAATTTTTCTTATCATCTGTGAAAGTGCTCATTTATAAATAATTCTAAAATGCATCATGGATGGGCTTTTTTAATGACCAAATAATGTCACCAAGAAACATGATTTAACTTCCGTTTCCTGTGAGAGTCCTGGAAGATAGGCCTGAGAAATCTCTTACAAAAGTGACAAAATACATAGAGATACAAGCCACGAAAGTCTTCAGATTACAAATCTGGCTGATAAAATGGACACGTTGGCACAATTTACCTGAGCGAAGCTGAACTCTTGTCTTACATTCTTTAAATGAGATGTCATTGCTTCTATACGCTCTTCAAAGTCAGTCAGTTGATTCTGTAGGTTTGCTTTTTCTTTTTGCATCTTCTGCAGCTATTTTAAAGTCACAATTGTCAATTTACTATTTTAGTTGAGTGTTTGTTACCTGCAGCTGCTTAAAAATATAACTGTAATTATAAATCACAAAAACAATAGAAAACATGCTCTGCGTATTCCTCCATAGGAATGGGAGGAAAAGAGGTTTTAAATTAAACATCAGCGGCAAAAGTACTTTTGCCATAAAGTGCTTTTGCTTGTAAAGATAACCAAAATTGTCATGGACTTATCTTGCTGAGCGGGCATTCCCCCCCCCCTCAACATTCAGATGCACCCCGAAGTCCTCCTAAGTTTTGCTTTGTCTACTTCTATTCAGCCAGCCTGCCTGCATAAGCTTATTATTGAGTGAAAGGCAACGTTACGGTGCAGCGCGAATTAAAAATACCGCATCCAACTGACGTATCGGGTTTCAGTTCCCTGAAACCGTATAGCGTGCAGGGGACGGAAGGCGCACACGCTTTTTACCCTTTACAGGCAGCCCCGCGGGCGCAGAACTGCTAGTTTTCCTACTCCGGCAGCTTTTCACGCCCGCTTCAGCCGTCAGTAAAGCGCAGCGCTCGGCGGCGGGAGG